CAACAGGCATTTTTCATCTAGAGAGGTAACTCATCTCGACTAATCGAATGACACGCCTTTCGACCCGGTTTCTAGTGGCTTCGACTAAACTACAGCGTAATTGTTTGGAATTCTCCCCCCTTTTTTCACCGTTTTCCCGACCATTTTGAGCTTTTTTTTGTTTGATACATAATTTTCATATATCATTCGAAAGAGCTCTACAAGCTTGACCGAAGGATACCATGATTGGCTAGATCTGATCATGGTAATATTGAAACGTCAGACCCTTTTTTTCCTTATAATTTTCACCCTATATTTTTACAAAATGGTTAGGCTGTTTCCTTTCTTCCTTCCAATTTGCCTTTGTAATTTTTGCCTACAATCAAAAAAAAGGATTATTTAATTTTATACAAGTGCAAGTACATGCAAAAAACAAGTAAAAAAGAGAAGAATGGAGAAGTCTGACCATTTTGTAAAAATATGTGGGGAAAATTGGGGAGGAAAAAAGGGGGTTGTACGCTTCAATATTACCCTGATCATTCATAACAAAACTATAAAGCTAAATCCTCGTTGGGAAAACTTTGTGATAATTCAAGTGGATAAAATAAACTGTCACAACATTGTTGACTTATGTCAGTTGTCGTTAATTTTAATGTTATTCGACTCAGCTCGAAGAATCTTTCGAATGATAAATTTGCCATAAAATGAGAAAAACTAGGAAAAAATAGAAAGGTAAAAAAGGAGAGGGGGGGGCGAATTCCAAACTATTACCAACTACATACAAAAAATCATAAATTATATTGAATAATACCCATTTTGTCAAAATTTTTTTAGTTATACAGGGGTCGACAACTCGATGAGAATGAAACTATTAGTGCTTGTAACATTATGAATAATACAATAGTTCATATGATTCAACGATTTCGTGGTTGTTGATGTTATAATTTCGGGAGAGAAATAATTTGATTTACATTTGTTTTAATACTCTTCAAATAAATTTGTTGAATTTAACAATGTTTAGAATACGGTTCTCAGACTTTTTTTATACAAATAATTAAATATGTATAACTGAATAATTTACAAATAAAATTGAATTTGGATCCAGGAGTTTCTATTTTATTATTTTACATTTATTTGTGTTCGGTAAAGAAAAAAGAATGGATATTGTTAATTATTTGTCGCGGTTAAAAAGTAACTAACAAATGAACCTTATCACAAGAGTAATAAAATGAAGGTATCGTGCGCGCCCTTATGTACGCGCCCTTTTGAGATGTACCTGACACTGCACATCACTAAAAATTAACGGTTCGGTCTCGGATATCCGAAGATTTTCCAAGAACTACAGCCCTACTTGTCAACACATATCTAACAGATTTAAATTATTTTGTATATAAATTTGGTATATAGATTTGGTTCTTTGAATCATTTTAATTCCCATCATTAAAAATTTAAAAATAAAATTTTAACCTGTAATTTAATTTTTAAATTTAATTGATCATTAATCATTTCTAAAATATCAGCTAATTCTCCTCTATAGTATAAAAGAGATATTTTCAAATTCTCGTATTGTTTTAATAAATTGTTATTTTCCAACAGCTGGATTTTGTTTTTAACTTTGATAATTTAATATTTATTCATTGCATATAAGTAAGATATATTATGGACATTATAAGGATTTAAGAAGATATCAGGATTTGGGAAAAAATCTCGTACTCACTCTACAATATCCTTATCCTCCCAAATCGTTCGATATCATCCCAAATCGCTCGAAAACCTCCCAAATCGCTCGAAATCGCTCGATATCATATTGTTAATTTCCCCAAATAAGATTACTTCGAATATTATGTCATTTCTTTGTGTTCAAAAATACTCCGAGAAACCGAAAATTTTTCTTCGGTACTTATAGCTGGTAAAATTCATTAACAATTAAGAATAATATCGTATCTTGAATATTTTATTAATTATTAAACCAACATACCAGACACATCAAATATTATTTCCGAAAGAGGTTCAAGTCCACTAGCAAAATCAAAGAGTTTATTATCCAGAAGATTTAACTTATGTTTAAATTTAAAATATTTAAGAAACGTTTATTATAAAATAGAAATACCGAAAAATATTTTTCTTCATCACCTTCACTTTCATTTTCTACTTGAACTTCATTAGCATCATTAGATTCATTTAATGAACTCTCAATAGAATTTTTGCCTGATATGTTAGAAGCAAATTGGAGAAAATAAAATAGTAAAATTGATAAATTTTTTTTCATCTTCAATCTTTTTTAACAGACTATATTAAGATTAATTTTAATCAGCACTATCGAACCTCACTCTAATATGCATAAAATAAATTCCCCAACTCCCGAAGTCACTCCCGACCCGACTCTCGCTTCACGATTCCCGGGTTTTTTATTTTTGCGAGCATCACTAGACTATAGCAAAGATGGATCTGGATCTGGACCAAGGCCTGAGGTCTTTTCTTTACCCAGAGTCCATGCCCAGGCATTTTTTGACCTTCCTAGTTTTTTCCGGGGTTTTCTAAACGTATTGAAGTTTATACAATTTTTTGTTTTTCTACAAGAGTTTTTAATTGTTATTTAGTGATAGCAATTTAAAAATAAAATGGTAAAGGGGAAACCTTTGAAGTGAGGTAGATTTTAAATATTAAATAGTGCATTTGAATGATGTAAAATCAATTTTAGACATTTAAAAATATTTATTTACATGTTAAAGTGCAGCATTTATAAAAGAATAAAAAAGAATGCCGAAAAAAATTTTTTATTTAAAAGTAAGAGACCAAAACACAAAAATAAAAAAGACTTGAAATTAGCGTTTTTGATGTAGTCGCTAACATATTATGTGGAGATGTCAGAGACTCTTGGTCTTGAGTCTTGATTCCAAGACTTTTCTTGGGTTTTATCGGTCTTGGTCTTGAGGTTAAGTCTTGGTCTAGACTTTTTTGAGCTCGTTTAAATTACACCCCTATGATTGAAGTTTTTTTGTATTCCATATTTTATTACAAAATGTATGAAAAATGGCGGTAATCCTTAAGATCATTGGTCCCTAGGAAAAAAGTGTTGCTACAATTGAGGATACGCACTTGAGGATATGACAAATGAAGACGACAATTGTGGATGTGACATATAAGGACGACACATGAGACACTAGTAGTTTATGAATAGTGATACAATTGTTGGAGTCAAAAAATACAATTAACCCTTTTTAATCATAGTAAATAAGCGGGGACTCAGGTATATACATGGGGGATTCAATATTGCATAACGAAAAAGTACCAAATTTCAATATAATTTTCTCAAGCATGACATTTTACTGTTTTGTCGGCATTTGACTTTGTGAAAATTTTCTTTGTAAAAAATTTGTTCATTGAAAATTCTTTATTTGAAAATTCTTTATTTTACTCAAGGAAAAAGAAGTTTATTTTTTTATGGAAAAGTAGTTTTGTTTAAGGGCAATAAAAATATAGGTAAATGCAATGAGTCCGTCGATCTGGGTTTTTTTATTTTTTATCCAAAAATATGGGCCATAAGCAAATACTTATAATGTCTGGGAAATTATAAAAATTCAAAAACTTTTTTTCTACTGTAAACAAGGCGTGTAGATTTAGTACAAAAAATTATTTATGAGGAACCTTATTTATAGTCTTATTCAGTTAAATATACATACATACATTCAGTTTGCTCATCTAGATAAATTTTTATAAATTAAAGTATAATTTTAAAATATTTTCAGAAAATTATTCAAGTTTTATATACCTCAGTTTAATTTCTGATATAATTTTCTAGATTAAATAAAGTAGAACATTACTCAATTAAGTAATGAAAGAAGATATCTCTTCCGATTCTGATTATGAATTAATTGTAAAATAAAAATTAAATTTATTCAAATAAATTTTTTAAAATTTTCAGCAATCTAATAGTAATTTAAAACAAGGGAATGAAAAGGAGAATAAAATTGCTTTGGTAATGGTGAACTTTGATATTTTGGCTCTTGTCGCATCTTTACGCGTCCAATGATAAGATAAAGTGTCTAACGAAATGTTATCGTCCAAACAAATTTTTATGCTTTGTTATCTGTTATTGTGCGTGTGTCGCATGACTCTGGGTGATTAGAGCTTACCATTCCTACAAATTTGAAGTTACTAATTATTTTTACTAAAACCAGATACCTGAACATCTAAACTTGTAGCTTTATCATTGGACGCGTAAAGTTGCGATAGGACGTGTAATCTGTTCAAGATACGTTATGTTTTATTAAAATCAATTTTTTGGTAAAATTCAAGCCAGAAAATCAAATAAATGTTGAAGAATTAAAACAAACTTTTCAACAAATGATTGATGAAATAAAAGTTGAAAATTCTAAACAGAATTCTGTTTTAAAAGAAATTATTGAGCAGAAAAATGAAAAAATAATTTGTTTAGAAAATAAAGTTAAACAGGTAATTAATAGGAAATTTCTAAAAATTATCTGATTCTGTTGAGTGGTTTTTTTCTAAAAAATTCAGGGAGCCTTTTTTCGGGGTACTTCAAATTGTTTTTGTAATTATGTACTTATCAAGAGGTTGATAAGTACACTTTTCGGTAAAATCTCTATGTTCTCTCATTATAAGGGATAGATGATCTAGAGGAACTGGGACTTCTAACGTATTAATTTATTGTTCATAAAAGTCGCAAAACGTGTGCGACAGAGACTTTGTGTGGTTACATAAATCGGCGTCTTCCGCTAATGCTACTTGCGACAGAAAAGATAATGGAAGAAGAGTGAAAAAAATTTTGTCGCGCGCGATTTTGTAGCATTTTTTGCATGGCTACATACATGACGCCAGCGTCTTGTCGCTAAGTTTAAGGGACAACTCCGTTAATTCTGGGGCACTCATTTATCAGTTAAATTTATTGAGAATATCTTGAGTCAAGTCCTTATTTTCTCTCTTTTTTACATTGTCTTTTCTTTCGCAAAACGCTCAATTTTTATGTAACCGAGCATTATTATTAAAATTTAATAAAGATGGAAGAATCAACTGGCAAAAAGTTTGAAGAATTAACTGAAGAATTGGAACAAATTAATAATTTGGATAACCAATTATGTTTTGTTAAAGTTGTAAATAAATGGAAAGAGATTAAAGAAAAATGTAATGAAGCTCCTTGGTTTACGGATGATTGTTGTGAAGCTAAATGTATAAATACAGAAAACCCTGTTGGTATTTGTGTTAAGGGAAATGGTTTTGTTAATTTGATTGATGATGAAAAAATTGAATATATTGATTCAAAGAAGGATGATCGTTATGGTTATTCTTTAGCTAAACAATTTTAAAATTACCCTAAATGTTTAGCAGTGGAAAGAAATTAAAGAAAAGTGTGAAATTATTTATTTTTCCATTATGTTGACTCAAAATTGTCAACAAAACCTATGGAAGTTGGCGAGACGCTAGTGTTTCGCCGGAAGTTCCGGTAGGCCAGAAGTTCCGGGATTTTTAGGTTCCGGTCCTTCAGTTCCGGTTAAACCAGAACTTTTTAACAACCCTAAGGATCGCCTGTGGTGCAGGAAAAGTAAGTTTTTTGGCTAACCAATGTAACAGACTTTAGGCTTATTGTTTGGCTTGCGAGTAAATGGCGTAATAATAATGTATTGTGAATAAATGGAGAGATACCTAATGTAGATAAGTTATGAAAAGTGTATTTTTAATGGGATAATTAAAACATTTTCCTCTCTGGTAGAACATTTATTAAATTAAAATTTTATAAAGGAACTGATAAAGAAACTACCATCTTTGCTGAAAATGCATTTATTAAACCAAAGGATAGTTCTAACTATTCTTTATTTTATTTTGAAGTTAAATATTTAAGTAAAATTCAAGAAGAGAGAATTAATCTTAAAAGCATTGATATTGGTCTTGCAAATTCCAGCAATAATTACGCTAGATTGAATTTCTGTATATATGGAAAACAAATCCGGTTTAATGTTCAAAATAAAAAAGGTCAAAGTGGTAGCCTTTATCTTCAAAATATTCTTTGGAATAACAATGATATTCTTGGATGTGGATTAGTCTATCCACCATCTACTACTGACAACTTTTCCTATATTTTCTTAGGAAAAGTTGTAATGGGAAACAAATCGGTAATTAAAAATTTGGCACTTCATTTGCATACACAATTACTTTTATTTCTCCTTACTTTGGTCAACCCTCTTTACGGACCTTACTTTTTTCCTCAACATGTTTTTTCTATATTTTTTAATTACTTCCATCCCAATTAATATAATATAAAATAGTTTTGAGTTTCGTGCATTAGAAAGAAATGAATAAAAATGATGATCTTGATTGCTTGAAGGCAAGATATAGAAAGGCATTTGTGATGAAGAAAAGGAAAAGGACTGACCATTCTGTACATACATAAGAAAACTTGGGAAGGGAAAATTGGGTCTGTAATCGACTATTACCTAGTTGTCATAGGTTCTAATTGCTTAAGCAAGAAATTGAGGGCATAAATGTAACGGAAAAGTACCAAAAATTTAAATATGTTTAAATAAATATTTTAAGGCAACCCAATATTGTTGAATGACAATTGTGATGGTTATAAACCATTTATTCAGCTACAGTCTTGTTCTGTAGAAACGAATTTTGGGAAGGATTTGAAAGCTAATCCTTTTGTTTATGACTTATCAAAACATGTATTTCATACATATTCCGATTACGGTAAATTATATTTAAATAAATATTAAAAAGTTAATCATAATTATGGGGCAAATGCTCATCAGGGGCCTATTTCAATTGTCCGCAGATTCTGCATTCTGTGCACAGATCACAGCCGCAGACTCTTCGGACAATTGAAATAGGCCCCTGATTACTCATAACAAATCTCAATTATAAAGCTTTTTTGCATATGTATTTTCCACTAGTTTTAACTGAATCGAGTAAATCTGGGTTAAAAATAAATATCATATGCCTGGAGAATCAAGGGTGGGGCGCAGTGTTAAAACGGGGGTTTAGAGGGTATCATGGGACATTCCTTAATCGGCAAAATCTTTAATAGACCTTGTAGTCATTTTTCTTTATTCAAAATAAAAAAAAACAATAAAATTTTTATTTAAAGAAAATTAATTTTTAAGAAAAAGATTTGAATGAGTTAATTGAAATGTTTCCATTAATTACAAAAGAAGGAATTGAACTAATATTGTTGGCAAAAGGGGGAATTAAAGAAATTGTTTCCGAAAATTTAAATGCTATTTTTCCTAAAAATACATAATTGATTCATTGTTTTTAATTCAACATAACGTTTTTGAGTAAAGTTAATTTTGTTGAGAGATTTACTAATTAATTTATGGCCCTCTAAACCTGAATCCAAAGCTTTGGATAACTTTGTTTTTATTTTTCCTTTCATTTGTCACAATGGTCAGACTCCCACACCAGGGATGTGCGTCATGGCGTTTTGGCGTGACGTTTTGGCGTTTTGGCGTGATTTTTGGCCGATTTTGGCGTGCTGGCGTTTGGCGTGATTTTCAGTTTTTGGCGCGCCAAAACGCCAAAATTATACACCCCTAATGATGGGAATTTTCCAAATAAATGGGGGAAGTGTTTTCAAAAAAATGAAATTTTTTTGCCCACAGCCTTCCAAAATTTTCAAAATTTGCGCCTGCGGCGCACAAAAAAGGAATAAATCTACTTATTAGCTTTCAAAATATCACGAAATTTTCGCCTGTGACACTAATAGAACTTAATACACTTTTCTTTAATCCTCCAATATCCATCAAATCCTATTAATCTACCAAAGCCACTAATGCCTCCTTAATCCTTTCTAAGTCCCTTACTTCGGGAGGTTAGAGGATATTTGGACATCTAAACCCTTCGATATTCTACAATTCTGGGGTTGTGATTTTTCCATTTTTCTTGCAATTTTTAGAAAAAGTAGGATTTCTGCTCTTGTTCTTAACAAATTTCCATAATTTTGGGTATAGGCGCTAAAAAAGGATGAATTTTGGCTTCTGGAGTTCGTGAAAATTTAAAAATTTTCGCCTGCGGCGCTAAAAAGAGATAAACACTTGTTTTTCGGGCCTTAGTTTAATAAAATTTTTGGCGTTTTGGCGTTTGGCGTTTTGGCGTCGTTTCGCCGATTTTGGCGTTCTGGCGTTTGGCGTGATTTGAAAATTTGAAAAATTGGCGTTTGGCGTTTGGCGCGCCACGCGAAAATTCTGGCGCACATCCCTGTCCCACACACAATTTCTATTGAGAATGTCTCTAATTGACATTCTCAATTAGAGACATTAACACAATGTGTGCGTTCTGCCTAACTATTACTGGTACTAATAGGTTTTTTCATCGGATTCCGGTAGAATACGATGAAATTTGAATTCGGCCATACTAAAATAATTAAATTTTTTAATGACACAAGAAATAAAATAAATTTTTCTCACAACAATTTATAGAAATCGGGGATGGGAGCAGGCCAATGTACCGTGAGCCCAATGTACCGCCGAGCGATAACTTTGTCCAAAATGGTCGAATCCGTGGCGCCCTGGTAAAGTTCGATTCAGCTGGTCGAGACGCATCGAAACATACAAGGGCGCCACGGATTCGACAATCTTAAACAATGTTATAGCTCGGCGGTACATTGGGCTCGCGGTACATCGGGGTGTACCCATCGGTGATGATTATTACAAAAAATACTCGCTATTGAACAATTAAAATATTTATTAAAAAATGTCAAAAAACAAAATTATAAAAATTTATCTTTAAAATATTATTTAAAAATCTATGTACATATTTTGAATATCTTATAAATTTCCCTCAGAAAATCCAGCAGCTTTTTTCCTTTTCAGCCCATTTATTTGTATTGTTAGTAAAACTGGTACAATAAATAAACCATGAATCGTGCCAATGATTCTAGTAAATTATAAATTAATTTCTATTTTAGGAATTATTAAATAGGGTTGAAAAAGTATTTTTCAATTAGTTTTAGAAATCAGAGAGTATCCAAGCTTACTTATTGGAAAAGAATTATTTGGACTAGTACTTCATAAAGAGTCCAACCCTGAAGATATCCTTCCTCGATATCTTCCAAACCTCCTGATATCCTGATAGTATACCAAACTCCGGATACCACAATAGTCCTCCAAATCTCCTGATATCCAGATATTTCCCTTAATCTATGACCGGACGAAGGGTTATTTAACTTCATTTACATATACTCTTTCTGCAAGTACGGATACACCAGATATTTTGTCCGAGATCCCTTTATGTAAAAATTAAAGTACCCTAAAAACAAAACAGTTCTGGCAAACGAAGCAATAATTTCAATTGAGATAAAGAAGAGTGGGAAAATACAAATTATTGTTGAGATAACAGCCTTTAATTAAAGTTATTTTTTAATTCAAATCAAAATTATACCTCAAGCATAGGCCTACCAACAACCTCAAGTATTTTTTCTATACTTTTTTCAAGTTCTTTTTGTTCGAAAATTTTAATATTTTTTATTGGAGATTCTGTTTGAATTTCCTTTTGTTTTTCTTGCAAAATATCAAAATGATAACAAATGTGAGCTGAGAAATCGACAGAAAGACCGATAGCCATTAATAAATTGATCATTGTAACCTTTAAATTTTCTTAAATTTTTATTTGAGATATTATTAGTTTGGCATTTTCAAAACGCCAGACATTCATGGACCTGGCCCGGTGTCAAATATAACTTAAAATAAATAGATCTCAGGCTTTCTTTCATAATGATCCATAATACACGTAAACTTCAAAAAGCTTAATTCTTAAAAGACACTACAATCCCCAGAAACAGTGTCTTGGGCACGCCCCGGTGGCCCTAAAAACATTTTCATGGATACAGCCTGCCGTACAGAAAATCTTAACATGGATCCGGCACAGGGGTCCGGAAAGCCCTTCCTGAATCAGATCCGAATATATAATTTTATAAATATATAGGTATTTATAACTAAAATATTTAAATTTACCGGGTCAATGTCTTGACCGCACCAACCAAGTGTGCCCAATAATGCTTAAAATTTTAAATATATTTTTAAATTTTCATGAAATTATTAACTATATGAAATTGAAAGAACGGAAAAAGTAGCAATTCCTGTACATCGTAATGCGGGGATGACGAAAAAACAGATTAAAGCCATGCATGTTAATGTCACAAAAACTGCTTTCAGCATTTCTGTCTAAAATTTGACAATCAAATATAATAAAAAATTTAATATGTACCTTAACTCCCAAAATTAAATCATAAATAGTCGAATCATAATCAAAAACCGAAACATTAAATTTTGGAAATTGATCAACAATATTTCTTATTTTATCAACAAAAAATGCTCTTTCAAGCCAATTCAAATCTCCTTTAATTATTCAAAATATATCAAATTTTTTATTTTGCTCTAACCCCCACGGGAAATTCCAAAAACAAAACTGTCAACAGAAATATTTCCTCTTTAAATAAAAACTTTTTTGATAAAAAAATAAAATTATACTAACAATCCAAAATCTCTAAATTGCACAATTCTTTTATCATCCATTCTTCTCTCTTTTAAAAATTGCGGAACCAAAGAATAGTTTGGTTGGTAATTAATTGAATTGTTTAAATTTATTTTATTTTTGTGATACTAAAAATAAATTTTGTTAAGAGGATAGATCAAATATTTAATTGCACAAATAAAAATTTCACAATACTTCGTTCCTTCTAAAAATAAAATACCACCCTCACTCGCTCACATTCCCCCCCCCCTCCCTCTCTCTCCCTGCTTCTTTTTCCCTACCTCCCTGCTTCCCCACTTACTAACTCCATATCTCTCTCACACTCCCTCCCTACATCCTTTGATCACACCATCCCTCCCTCCCTGCACACTCCCTCTCTGGATCCCTCTATCACACCATCCCTCCTTAAATGCCTCTCTACCTCCTTATCTCCTCGACTCAGTCCTTATCCCTCACTTACTTCCAAGTAGCCATTAAGCCATATTTGAACATGCAAAGTATTTGGTAAATTTTGTATAATATTAATCATTTTGTTGAAATTGTCTAATTCTACAGGATCAGAAATATTTGGAGGGTGAAAGACAAAAAACGAAATTGGAGAATGCTAAAAATATAAAAAATATTTTTCTAAAATTAGATTTTAGACACATATTTCATAATTCTATTAAATATTTTGATTGTATCCTGAAGTGGAGAATCGCCAGGAAATGTTCTTTCTGGAATAAAACTGGTTTCCATTTGATTAATTCCAAAATAGGCTAGAATATATGAGATGAAGAGGAGTACAAATACAGATATTTTAGCTCGAAATGAAACGAGAAATTTTGAATAAAAACGTAGAAATGATGAAGAAAATGAAGATCTGAAGATTAATAATAATTATATTAGATATTTTTTATTTTTTTGACTTAGATTTCAAATTCTAAAAGTTAAATGTGTTAAATAAGCCCTTTTAGTGGATTGGATAGGACTTGCTTAGGTTTATTGGGAATGATGAGTTAGATGGGACTCGATCCTGAGAACTATGATAAATTCATGAATGATAAATTCATGAATTGTCTTGTATTTCATGAAAAGCATAATGATATTTTTATGAAATTTCAATGCAATATCTTTTAAATTAAGTAAAAAATTCCTTTTACCTTTCCTTTTTTAATTTTATCATTCCAAAAAGAGGCCAATTTTCTCTTTTTATTGTATTCTCGTTTTCTTCAGCTTTCCATTTAATAAAAGGGAGACAAGGTGCAAATATTAAAAATTCAAATAAAAAATCCAAGAATATAGCAATTGAAGTACACAAACAAAAATTGGACATTAAAGATGATGGAGAGAAAATACCAACTCCAAAAGCAATTCCATTGGTTAACGAAGTTATTGCTATAGAAGAACCCATTTCTCCAAAAACGTTTGCCATTCTTTGAGCAAATTTATCTTTTTAAAAATTATTTTGAGAATTAATTAAATGTTTTGATTTTTAAGTAAGGAATTATGAACTAAGAGTAATGCCCAATGAATTCCAAATAAGGGCATTATATTATGCCCAAATAAGGGGGCATTATATAAGGGCGTGGGGGCATTCTGTTAAACGTGGGGGCATTCTGTTAGAGGTCATTCAATTGAGAGAGGTGAAACGTTGAAGAATGCCCTGTTGGAATCATCGTACATAGGGGCATTCAAATAGGGGGGGGGCATTAATTCGAGGATGATATTTTATTGAACACTTCTGAGTCGAAAAATGGTCGAAATTTTTGAGTCCGGTTTCGTGTTTCTGCTACCAAGCCAACGCTTTTATATGTAGACAATATGACGAAACAAATATTTTTACCTATTTTTTGATTACATTCTTTATTCTCATTTAATCCTTTTTGTTCAATTAAAGCCCATTTTCTCCAAGAATGTATTAATAAAAAGGCATTATCCACCCCAATACCAAAAACCAGAAACGGCATTATGGGCATTATCGAATTAAATTTAATTCCGATCCATCCAATAATCGAGAAAGCAACAGAAATTGATAATAGAGGTGAAAGTAATGAAGAAGTAATTAAAATAAACTTAAATAAAAAGTAATTTTTTATACCCTCATCATACCTCGTATCAGGCTCCTGTGATAGTTCTCAGCGCTAGCTCAGGAGTGGAGAGAATTAGCTGAAATGGGCTATAGCTATTTCTCCTACAGCTAATGCAAAAGATTATTCAGGGTTCTACATAGGTGCTCCAAAATTTTGACTTGTACATTTCGCTTTCAGGTATCCAAGAAATACTGACGCTATCATCATTTACCGTATATGTGATTACTCGATATTAATTAATTTCCCCATTAATTACTCTTGAAACAATAATTAATTGTTTTATTAAAAAATTACTTGAGATTTCCAATTAAAATGCCAATAAGCCACAACCAAAAATAAAATCATAGCATCCACCCCAATACCTAATAAACTTGTAATTTTCTTAGCACCCCTCATCATTTCATAATTAGCTAATTGATCAGTATAAATTAAAACTTTGAAAGTTAAATTATTTAAATCTCCATTATTTATATTATTAAACAATTTTAATTCCAAATTATTTAGTATTTCCATTTGATTTTTATTTTTATTGTTTCCATCAAGTAAATAACTTTAAATTACCTAATTAATTTAAAAATATTTTTGAAAATTTTTTACTAAATTCCAATAGTTTCCACAGATTCAATATTTGAAGGAAACTTTTCTGAATTATTTCCTTGTCTCAATTTAACACCAAAAAAATGAGAATCCAAGAGAACATCAAAACCATAAATTTGAGATATTGGAAAGTCCAAATTAATTTGTCTATTTAATTTTGAGGTTAATAAAAGTGATGTACTTTGTAATTGATATGCCCATTTAAATGCGTGAAAAAGATAATTCATATCACCTTTGCTGGTCTAATGATTTAATACAATTATTTAGTTAATTATTTAGTTCGTATAAATACCACGAGTAATTAGTGTTTCACCCTCTCAACGGGGGGAGGGGGAAATGTGGAGGAAGCGGTATCCGAGGAAATATCGCATCTGAGAGCACCCTAGCTATAACTATTCTTAAGTGGCTATAGTTTAACCTCACGCTGGTAGGGGTAATTATTTTAGTGGTCCTCTTTTTGGAGAGGGGATTTATTTAAGCATATAAATTATTGAAAAAACCTCAAAATCCTTTAAGCGAACAACTCTTTGACTATTATTATTTCCTTCAGAAAGCCCCTCAAAATTAATTTCCAAAGAAAGTTCTTTTATATAACGATCTAAAATCTCCACATCTGAAAGCAATTTATCATTCATAATCAAGCGTTTGTCTGAAGTTTTTGGTTCCAAAAAGATCAAAACAAGATCTACTCCGTCTATAGAGACATTATAGAATTCAGCAAATGCCTGCATATAAAAATATTTATAAATTTCATTAAGCATGTGGGTTTCCAAAAAGATGTAAAGATCGACCATCAAAGCCTTAGTATGAGTATCAGTTATTTTGGTCCGGACTTAAGCCTCAATGGTAAATAATGATAGACCTGGGCCCTATTTCAATTGTCCACAGATTCTGTGGTCTGCGTTCTGTGCACAGACCGCAGAACCACAGAAATTCTGTTTCAATTATTCCACAGATTCTGCGGAAAAAGGAGTCCGCAGATTCTGTGGAAACATGCACAGAATCTGTGGAAACATCCACAGATTCTGCAAAACATCCAAAAACATGCAAAAACCACAGAATTCTATTTCAATTATTTTTCTGTGCACAGAAAAAAATCCACAGATCTGTGGCTTTTTTAGTCGATTCTGTGCATTTCTGTTTCAATTATTTCTGTGGTCTGCGGAAAATACACAGAATTCATTAAAAAATCCACCCTAAAATTTTTTCTGCGAATTTTTTACGGAAAAACTTTAAAAATTTTTTTCTAGGCCTAGGCTTAACCAAATTTTAGAATTTTTAAAGATTATTAGAGTTTGATTCATTCTCTATTTTTCGATATAAAAATTATAATTTTGTTACTTAAAATTATTACTTAAAATTAATTTTGAAAAAGGTACATCATTTTTTAGCATTTTTTGTTATATCCAAGCAATAAAAAAATAAAAAAACGCGAGAGATTCTGAAATTTAGAGCTATGATGTTCTAATCATCATGGATATCTCTAATGAGGGGATTTTTCCCCGGGATCTCTTGAGGATATCTAGCCTGGGATATCTCCTATGATCTCTCATTGATATCCGTCATAATCTCTCCTCCTATTTAATGATAGATTTCCTCCTTAATCCCTCCAATATATTAAACCTCAAAATCAATGGATATCCCACTTAATCCCTCCTCTACGATTTTCAAGTTCCGATGACTGAAATTTTGGATTCCAGGCATTTTCGATTTCCAGGAACCTCAATTTCTGACTAAACAATCCCCAGTTTTGTAACATTTCCCTCCCTTGCAACAACATCTATCGTAGTCTCCTGACTTTTCCATCTCCTGATTTTTCCGATCCGAAACATTAATTTAATTGGGGATTTAAGGATATTGGATGAACCAGAAAATTAAGCGGTATATCAGCGGTTTTAAAGTGATATCTAAAAGATTTAAATGGATTTTATGTGATTTGGAGGGAAAATTTTTAAATTTTTACAATATTTTTCAGTTTAATTTAAGAATTTTTAAAGTTTTTCTTCAAAAAATCAGGTACCATTAATACTGCAGTAGTACCGAACTGTCCTAACCATTTTTCGTTTCAATAACACTTTATTTTCAAAAACGCGGAAATAAAAAGTTTGAATTTAGAAGGAAAAATACACAGAACCACAGGAAAATAATTGAAATAGAAATTCTGTGGATCAGTGGAAAAAATCCACAGATTTCTATATTTTCCACAGAAATTTTCATCCACAGAATCTGCGGAATGTTTCCACAGAATCAGTGGTTGATTTCGCAGAATCTGCGGGCACCACAGATTCTGTGCACACAGAATTTAATTGAAACAGAATTTCCGCAGAATCTGTGTTCTGTGCACAGAATGCAGAATCTGCGGACAATTGAAATAGGCCCCTGAAGATGGAAGGATAATGGGATTAGAACTAATCAAGCCAGACTTTTCGATTTCGTATATCAGGAACCAACAATCCTAAAAGATTGTAAGTACTACTCCAAGTCAACTCTTAGTTGAGAAAAATATTTTTAACTTATAATTCTACCTTCGATTCACTTGTTGCCCTTCCATTTTTTGGGGAAAACCCTCTCCTTACATCAGTTTCGACTTTAATGTCATTAATTAAATAATAAGATAATGATGGGAGGAATAAAAATAAATTTGTTAAAAAAATAGTTTTGGGCCTTTTGCCAACTATAAAACCAATTTTTCGAAATAAAGATGATAAACTCATTAATAATCTACATAAAAAATATATTATTTATTTTTTATAAATTTAGATTAATTAATTTTTTAAAATCTTGTTCCGAATAATGATTAATTAATTAAATAAAATAACATTTACATTGTGTAAAATAATAATATAACGATGGAATAATATTATTCTGGAAAAATTATTAGGATTGGACACAATCAGAAAATTAACCACTAACATGTTTTTGGTTAATCCAAATCTAAAAATTGGAGGGTACCTTTTGAGTTTTAGTTTAATACCCGTTTTATTTTGGGGGAATATTTTTTAATTGCTTATTTAAAAAAATTTTTTTTTGAAAATTTCATAAAAACGGCATATTTTTGGCAAGAAATATCAAAAATTTCTCTTCTTAAACAAGTCGTATCTTAAACAAGTCGTGCGCCCCCCCAATCAATTATGTATTTACTAATTAATTTTTCAAATTATTAAAAAACATAAAAAATCGGTTGCTATAGCAACAGATTTTTTATAAAATTTATATTTTAAAATTAAAAAAATAATAAATATATTTTTAAATGTTAAAAAATGGTAAAAATTATTAGCAAGATTTATTTAAGTTTTTAAATTATTAATTATAGGTTTATTCGAAAATAAAATTGCAGTTAATATTGAATTAAAGCCTATAAGAAAAATAAATGTTTTTATTTAAATAAATAATTTAAAAAAGCCTTTAGAAATTAATTTTTTATAAAATTTAAAGTTAATTTATCAATTGTTAGGCGAATGAATTAGTCAGAATGAAAATAAATTTTACTAAAAATAAGTTTATCTTCTTTGTTCTCTACTGCAAAAAAAGAAAACAAAAATTTAATTTTATCGCGAACAACCAGTTTTTAAATAAAGAAAGTTGAAATTTAAAGAAACGGCGCAAAAAATTATAAAATAATGAATATAATAAAGTATAGATAATAAATAATCTTTTACTGCTAATTAATTAAATAATTAAATACTGTTGTATTTCAAGGATTTTTTATATTCAAGACTGAATTTGGAACACAACATTTTTACGTGGTTGGAGCATAGATTCGAACTGGATCATCTTTTACTCTGGAATCATGCCTTAGCTTATTTATATAAATTTTATTGCTTTTTCGAAGCTCTAAAATTTAAAAAAGAGGAGTATGACAATCAAAATTTCAGATGAGCAAGCTACTAATGGTCTCATTCCAACTAGAAATAGTCCTGAAGACAAAAAAGCTTTTGGAACTTAATCAAAATTTTGAAACCCAAATAAAAAAATTTTTACTCCGACTTCCATTTTCATTTATTTTCGCTTAGATAGGTATATTGTTGAAATAATAAGAAGCCTTAATTTATCAAAATCCCATGTGTTCAATTTACATAACAAAAGCAGAAAAGTTAAAAACCAAATACATTAACAGGAATTAAAATATTTTTTAATTTGAACAGCCAAGACAATATTCTTGGTATTGTTAAATGAAACCCTCAAACAAAATTTCTTTGGCCCTCATAGTTGTTATATTTAAATTGACGATGATTATAAATTTTTTACTCAAATTTTGTATAACATAAGTCGGGAAATGTTTTATTTTTAATTTAAAATATAACTAGTTTTGAGGAAATAAGAAAAAATTTTTTCCTATTTTTCTTACAATTTAAAATGGCCAAATGTAAAATAATTGTTTTGAGGGAAATTGCACTTTAATTGTAAAACCCCATCGTTCATTCTTAAATTGCTCTCTCAATCTTTTAATTTAAACAAGTTTTGTTGTTTTTATTGTTTTTTATTAATTTTGGCGATATTTTTTTTAATGAAAGTACGAAATTTTTATTAAAGAATGTTTTTAATTTTAGTAATTTTACGTAAATATTATTATTTTTTTATTATAAAATTTTTTTGAAAAGATTAAACATTAACTAAAGAACATTAAAATAAATTAAAAATACGTTAGGAAATTTTGTTCGAGATTAAAAATAAAAGAACGAATGAGTTTTAAAAATGATGGTTCTGGGAGACATTGTTAACTGATTTAAAGGGAATATTTATTAGTTTGATAATTTTTAGATTGAGTGTATTTATAAGAGGATAACATTTATACTCAAAAAAGCGGGTGGTAACTTGGAACTTAATTTATTAAATTTTAATTAATAGAAGACACGCACCCTATTGTTTTGAAATCAATATTCAACAAAGCATTTAACAAAATTTTTATTAACATTATTCAATATTACGGTTTTATTCAACTAATAAAAAATTTTACTTTTATTGACAGTTTTCAAAAATATTAAATTTTTTTGAATATTGGGCTTTGGAATTTTGGGCTCCGGAGAAATTTTTTGAAGAAGTTTTGCGAGGCATTGTTAATTAGTTTTAAAGATTTTCGGAGAAATTTTGTGCTTAAAGGAAAAATTTTTAGGAATTAGTAAAGAGAAATAGTCAATGAATGTTAGAAAAAAAGTAAGGATTATTTTAAAAATTATTCTTTATTCATTTATAATAATTCTTCAATTTCATCATCTTTCTCCTCCTCAATTATTGTATCAAGTTTATTTTTCAAAGGATAAGACTTTACTTTTTCCTCAATAAAATCCTCTTCTTCTTCTAACCAATCCTCTATCTTATTTAATTTTTTTTTTATTAAGAAATGGAAATATTTTGTTAATTAATTTAATAAAATGCTTTTCTTGTTTATTTTTATCTATTTTTATTTTAAACTTTCCAAATTTATATTCTGTCCCAGCATAATTTAATATTTCCCCAGCTTTGGGTAATATATCATTTTTACAATATTTATCTAATACTTGTTTATATTCGTTATAATTTTTCTTAATTGTGGCACAAAATTGAAGTAAATCCAAGAAATATTTAACAGTCAAAAAGTCACCATATTCTTCAATATGTTTTTGCTAAATATAAATTTATTGTTAAAATTTAAGCGCATATTTGTTAATTATTTTATGAAGTTTATTAACTTTTTAAGGTTTTATAACTTTTATATCAACAAATTGTTTCATTTATTATACATACATGGTAAATGCAAGGGATCCTTCTGACAAAAAACCAAAATTCCCTATTTCGGGAAATAAGGATCGAGACACAAAAAGAACGTCGAGAATTTCCGATTTTCGGGAATCGGACGGCAGACCTCTGATAAATGTTACATTTAATTAACATTAAAAAATTTTCTAAACATTTCGAGAAAATTTCCCCAAAAAAGTGACGACGCCTTTCCACAGATTTCAAAAAACGTCTCTTGCATGTTGATCGAGTTTGTACGATATTCCCAGCCCGAATCCAATATCCATTCTCTTATATTTATCTTAAACAATGTATCATAACTTATCTTAACTTTTCCCAATTAAATAACATTTTTATCTGATATCTTTTCTAATCTAATTAAAAGTTTACATGTTCAGTTACTGATAATCCTTTTTTAAAATCTTCGCACATTTTTCTAATTTCCTCTTTTTCTTCCAAATAAAATTTTCTCAAAATTAATTTACCCTTTTCATTTTTATTTAATTTCTTAATTAATTTTGCTAAATTTTTCATTCCATCTTTTTTAAATAAATTTCTTTCGATAGTCCCAATATATTTAATTTCTTTTCTTAAACGTCTGAAATTTTTTGAATGCATTTTCTGTTTTTTAGGATCATCAGCAATTTCTATCTTATTTTTGACAATAATCAGTTTTAATATGATTTCTTCAATTTTTAGCTCTGAATTTTTAATTATAAAAATAAATATTTTAAAATAGTAAAAGAGATAAACTAGCCACGAGAAGGCATAGACTTGCGATTCTTGGACAGTTATTCCTAGAAGTTTTCACTCACCATTCATAGGTCCAGTACCAACAGAGAATTTTCTCATTTAATACATCTTAAACCCCCACCTAGAAAGTTTTTTAAATATCTTCTAATATTTGTATTGCAGTTCGACACATGGCTGAGTATTTTCCTACATGAGGATAAGCCTATGGCTGAGTATTTTCCTACAATAGGATAAGCCTTAAAACTAAGTTAAAAATCAAAAATTAATCACCTTCATTAACATTTTTCCTTTCTTTTTGTTCTGAAGGGAATGAATTCGAATGTTCTTGTAAATTTATTTTAAAATTAAATTTTTTAAATAAATTAGAAAATTTTTACCATTAACTTCCTCTCTATAATTTGACTTCAACAATATTTCCTTATCTTCATCTATTATTTGTTGTCCTTTAGAGGAAGAAGAGCTTCCATACAAAATCTTATTTTTATTTGTATTATTTTCATCTTTTATATTTTTTAATTTATTAGTTCCATATACTATTAAATTGATAAAATTGAAATAAATTATTGAAATAATTATTTTCATTAAAATCAGAATTTGCTCTAAATTTGTTATTTAATAAAAATTATTTTTTAATTATTTTAATTTATAAACAATTTATTTTTGATCAAAATAAAATTACTAAACTAAAAGTTAATTTAAAATTTTTTAATGATAAATAATAACAAGAAGAATATTTATTTTCTGTAAGTTTCTTGGACTACTGGCTATAAAGATAGGCATAAATAATCTCATTAATTGCATTACATAATGTGATTGAGTTTTAAAGGGGAAAATTAGTGTATTTAACAGAAAATTAACGGATTTATTAAATTATAAATTAAAATCAACAATATTATTTTTATTTTTTAATTTGTAAAAATTTAGCTATTAGACAAAATCCTTTAATAATAATTATTATTTTAACATATTTTAAGTTCGATTAAATAAAATTAATGTAATTTAATTTTTAAATTATTTAAATACACGTCTGGTCAAAATATAAATTTCTCAATTTTTTTATTTTCAACGAAAAATAAAGAAAAATATTGTCTGGAAAAATATTTGTTATTGTTTACATAATTATAAGACAGATTTTAAAAAAATTTATAGGAAATTGTCTATTCGATTTTATTTTTTAATAAAGAAAATAAGATTTAAAATTTTAAATAAAAAATTAAATTTTGTAGAAATTCATAAATTATAGAGATGT